ATATATACAATATATAGTATATATACATACTATATATTGTATATATTATATTGTATATATGTATTATATATATAGTATATATATATTATATATTTACACAATATATATTGTGTATATATATAGTACATATATATATATATATTGTGTGTGTATGTGCATATATATATATATATATATTTTTTTTTTTTTTTTTTTGAGACGGGGTCTTGCTCTGTTACCCGGGCTAGAGTGCAATGGCACTATCTCAGCTCACTACAACCTAAACCTTCACAGCTCAAGTGATCCTCCCGCTTTAGCCTCCTGAGCAGCTAGAAGTAGCTGGTACCACAAGTGTATGTCATCAAGCCCAGGTAATTTTTGTATTTTCTTTTGTAGAGACGAGGTTTTGCCATGTTGCCCAGGCTGGTCTCTAACTCCTGGGCTTGAGGAATCACCTGCCTCAGCCTCTCAAAGTGCTGGGATTACAGGCGTGAGCCACTGCACCAAGTGCAATTTACATTTCTATTATAACAGTTCATAAATGGTAATTCATTATCATTTGTCAGCTTCAAGCCAATGAAGACATTACTAAAAGTAACATTAGTTAAAATCTAAAAAAGAGAAAGACGTCAGGTGGATGGCTCGTGCCTGTAATCCCAGCAGTTTGGGAGGCTAAGGTGGGTGGATCACCTAGGTCAAGAGCTTGCGAGCAGCCTGGGCAACATGGTGAAACCCCATCTCTACTAAAAACACAAAAATTAGCCAGGCATGGTGGCACGTGCCTGTAGTCTCACCTACTTGGGAGGCTGAGGAAAAAGAATCGCTTGAACCCAGGAGGTAGAGGATTCAGTGAACTGAGATCGCATCACTGCACTCCAGCCTGGGCAACAGATGAAGACTGTCTCAAAAAAAGAAAAGAAAAAAGAAACGAAGTATCTATCTACACATAAATGTTTTAGGTTTTCCATATTTTGGCATTTTTTTATTTTATAAAGTATTACTAGTTTACAGTTAAGAAGCAATTTAAATTAAGATTTTAGTTTATTTTTGCAGATGGACAACTATACACACAGATTTTCAGTGAATAATGGTTTTGTTATAAATTCCCAGCCTAGCAAGATTTACAAAATTTATTTCAGATCTTTCCATTTACACATTTACAAATTCTGACTTGAATTTTTTTTTTTTTTTTTTTTTTTTCTGACAAAGACAAAGTTTCTCTTTGTCACTCAGGCTGGAGTGTAGTGGCGCATTCTGGGTTCACTGCATCCTCTGTCTCCGGGGTTCAAGTGATTCTTCTGCCTCAGCCTCCTGAGTAGCTGGAATTAGTTGCACACAACCAGCCTGGCTAATGTTTTGTATTTTTAGTAGAGACAGGTTTCATCATGTTGTCTAGGCTGGTCTCAAACTCCTGACCTCAAGTGACCCGGCCACCCCAGCCTCCCAGAGGGCTGGGATTGCAGCCATTAGCCACTGCACCCGGCCATCTGGTTAGGAATTTTTAAAAACACCAGGTGAAAACCCAATTATGTCTTCATAAGGACTCTCTTTCTCCAGGTAGGAAATTATGCTCCAAAATGCTGAGACATCACTTGATGATAATTAATTCCCACAAATTGATTTTTTAGGAAGATCTTTATTTAAATTAATATTTTCTAATCACCCATACCATATAATAATTTCCACTTACTTTCAGGCTTTGCATCTGCTGCAGTTTGGCGCATGCCTTTCAGTTGGTTTTGTACTCTTTGCAATCTCTGCACTGCATGAAATAGCTTTAAAATACAATTAAATCGATTACTTGCTTAGTCTATTGAAGCTTACCTCTCTTTTAGGCAAGCAATGGAAAATACAAGTTCCATATAATTCTTACGATATAAAAGGAACAAATAAGAACTCAGAAAATTCCCATATTAAACCCAAAATGTAACTGGTTCTCTCAATACCTTTTCACTTAAATTTTTTAAAGAAGTTTTCAGAAATTTTTATTTATTCAATTTGCAGATTAAGGAAAAATACTTATCAAAGAAACACAGGCACCAGGTTTTTCTTGTTATACATGGTTTTCTTTTTTTTTTTTTTTTTTTTGAGACGGAGTTTCGCTCTTGTTACCCAGGCTGGAGTGCAATGGCGCGATCTCCGCTCACCGCAACCTCCGCCTCCCGGGTTCAGGCAATTCTCCTGCCTCAACCTCCTGAGTAGCTGGGATTACAGGCAGGCGCCACCATGCCCAGCTAATGTTTTGTATTTTTAGTAGAGATGGGGTTTCCCCATGTTGACCAGGATGGTCTCGATCTCTTGACCTCGTGATCCACCTGCCTCGGCCTCCCAAAGTGCTGGGATTACAGGCTTGAGCCACCGCGCCTGGCTGGTTTTCTTAATTCTAAGTAACGTTAACATTCTCACAGAGATGTTTCAGAATCACAAGCAGATGCCAAGTAACCATTCAGGGCTTAGGCAATGCAGCTTACTGCTGCAGTGAAATTACTTCAATGCCAAGTCAAGTGCCAGCAGAGCCAAACATCTAAACTGCTGATTTAGTAGTAAATGATGCTTATGTGAAATATATTTTTAATGTATAAGTCTACTCAGATTTTTAGATTTTTAATAAGTAAAAGCAGTAATTTCTGAGCAAATTATTTTTTCTTTAAGGCAAAGTTTAAAAACATGGAGTGTAGGTGATTTTGAGCCTTTTCAGGACTTATTTGCCATTGCAGTAAATTGCAGAGGGTACTATGATCAATGGAATAAAAAGAATGGTCTCATAGCCCTGGAATCTAAAGGCATCCTTCAGAGATTCTAGAAATTGTATTAGCAGTTAATCTTACTGTTAACATTACAATGACTCTTTTGTAATGTTGGAGCAATATGAGGTAAGCATAGGCCAAAAGACAATGTATAGATACAATTCAGAGTGTAAAACCCAAAAAGTAGTATTGTTGCTGCTGTTGGTGCCACAAAATATTTATCTTAATTAAAAGAGTATTCCGTTATGTTAGCAAAAAGAATGTGAACGTCTACAACTCTAAAACTCTTTTCTTTACATATGGATTATCAGAAGGAACTATTTCTTTTGTATTGAGAACATAAATGTTTATGTGGATACCTGATTCTTTTGTTCCTGTTTCTGTTGTGCAAGATATTCTTCTCTCTCTTTTTCAACTCGAAATTGCCGTGCTATTTTAAGCATCCATTGATGATTCTGAGCTGTCTCCACCTACAGTAAGGGAATAAGTAGTGCATGTTACTGTCAGGTTTGAGGAAAAAAATTAGCATGTCATGTGACTCAGACATCCACTTATCATTTCTTTTTGGTAAACAGTACTCCCTAGAGATGACAGTAAAGCTCCAGACTCCAGGTCCTTGAAAGTGTTGGGCTACTGCCTAGGGAGATTCCCTTTCCGTCAGTGTTATTTGAGTCCATCCTCAGATGTACACTCACGCTTGGCTGAATCTTTATTTGCATTCCTAAATCTTTGCAAGTCCTTGGGACTTGGGGCCAAAGTCTTACAGGGCTAATTCTGCCTTACCCTTTTCTTCAAATGTTCAACTCTCTTAATGAGCTGATCCTTTTCTTCTTCCATTGCACTGATATCCTAAAAAGCGGCAAAGAAGACATTATCTCAGTCTGTAGGATACAGATAAGCTTTTATTTTGATTATGCATTTAACATTTTCATCATTTATAAGCCGAGCATGAACAACCAAGATCCTCTTTTGGATTAAGGTCATTTATATTTTTCCCCAGGGCTCTTTATGCAGGGTAATTTTTTTGGCAGCTTGGTGTTCATCTAGAAATGCAACAAAAATCAGTTATAACACAGCAAGGTACAGCTGCCAACCAGCACATTTGTGTTCTGATTCCAAATATGGGCACATGATTTTTGAAAAATCTTCTATAATGGAAAGTGTGCAGGTCTAAATACATGAGCAACAGCTGCTGACATCCCATCTGCTCTGTTAAATATCAAACCATATAGTCTGCCAATTTTCCATCAAAATTATTTTTAAGGCTATGGTATTTTCAAGACATAAATTTGTGCCTGGTTTTGCCAATTAACCAATTCCCTCTCTGAAAATAAAGACTTTAAAAACAAACTTCCTTCCTGTTAACCAGCTTCATAGTATTTTGTTATGAAAACAAACAAATAGGTCAGGCTCACGCCTGTGGTGGCTCATGCCTGTGATCCCAGCACTTTGGGAGGCCGAGGTGGGTGGATCATGAGGTCAGGAGATTGAGACCATCCTGGCTAACGTGGTGAAACCCCGTCTCTACTAAAAATACAAAAAAATTAGTCAGGCATGGTGGCACACGTCTGTAGTCCCAGCTACTTGGGAGGCTGAGGCAGAAGAATCACTTGAACCCAGGAGGCAGAGTTTGCAGTGAGCCGAGATTGCACCACTGCACTCCAGCCTGGGCAACAGAGCAAGACTCCACCTCAAAAAAATAAAATAAAATAAATAAAAATTTAAAAACTCCTTCCTAAATCTAAAAAACTAATAGCGTAACTGCCACAGTAATACTAAAGGTAAAATAAAATATACGTGGTAGCCAGTATTGATAGAATTTGGAAAAATGGGCACTCTTACTCATTCCTGATAGTATTGTACTGAAAAACAGTATCAAAAGTCTTAAAATGCAGCCAGGCCAACATGGTAAAACTTCATCTCTACTAAAAATACAAAATTAGCTGGGCATGGTGTTGAATGCCTGTAATCCCAGCTACTTGGGAGGCTGAGGCAGGAGAATCACTTCAACCTGGCAAGTGGCAGTTGCAGTGAGCCAAGATCACACCACTGCACTCCAGCCTGGGCAACAGAGTGCAACCGTGTCTCAAAAAAAGTCTTAAAATAAATGTTCATCCCTTCTAGCCCAGTAATTTTATTAGCTGGTGATTTGTCCCAATAAAACATTCATGAAAAGTCATCATCTATAAAGATTCTCATTAACGCAAGTTATGTCTAAAATTTGGAAACAACAAAAATGTATGAAGATTGATAAATAAATCACAGTGTAATACAATGAAAGTCATTAAAAATTATGCAGAAGAATGTTTAATGACATGAGTAAAAGTGCTAATATGACATTATTTGAAAGAAGCAGATTACATTTATCTACAGAATACCAAGAAAAAGATTTAAATATATTTATCAAAACGTCAACCATAGTTGTCTCTAGAGCATGAGATTATGAGTGAATTATTTTTTCTTTTCTTTTTTATTTTTTTGAGAAAAGGTCTCACTCTGTCACCCCGCTAGAGTACAGTGGTACAACCACAGCTCACTTCAGCCTTGAACTCCCAGGCTCAATTGATCCTTCCGCCTCAGCTTCCTGAGTAGCTGGGACTATAGGTGTGCACCACCAAGCCTGGCTAATTGCATGTGCGTGCGTGCGTGCGTGCGTGCGTGCGTGCGTGCGTGTGTGTGTGTAGACAGGGTCTTGCCATCTTGCCCGGGCCGATCTCAAACTCTTGGGCTCAAGTGATCCTCCAGCCTCGGCCACCCAAAGTGTTGGTATCACAGGCATGAGCTACCACGCCTGGCCTACTAAAGTATTCTTGAACATATGATTTGTAGAAAATTTAGAAAATATGATTAAACAAGAAATAGAAGCTAGGTGCAGCAGTGGCTCATGCCTATAATCCCAGCACTTTGAAAGGCCAAGGGGGGAGGACAGATTGAGCCCAAGAGTTCAAGACTAGCCTGGTCAGATGGTAAAATCCCAGCTCTACAAAAAAAAATACAAAAATTAGCTGGGCATAGTGGTGTGTGCCTGTAGTCCCAACTACGCAGGAAGCTCAGGCAGGTGGATCATTTGAGCCTGGGAGGTCAAGACTGCAGTGAGCTGTGATCACACCACTGTGTACTCCAGTCTGAGTGACAGAGTGAGACCCTGTCTCTAAAAAAAAAGTAAACAGTGGAAAAAAAAAAAAAAAAAAGGAGAAAACTTTAGTAGTAATGAATGAAATTAAAACACAGACTCTAGGTTCTTTTTATTATCCTGGTTTACTTACAGGGTATAATGGAGGAATAGTAGATGGACATCTATCATTCTTCTTCCGTACTATAAGTAACTACTCATTGTGACTTTACCACAGTCTCATCAATTTCTTCAGTAAGGAACTACCAAAGGTCCCACAAAATAAAATGTGCCATTTACCATCACTAGTCTCCATACAGTCTTAAGACTCATACTGAATTAAGCAAAAACAAAAATGCTAAATCCAATATTATTCAAATCCCCAAAATTCGTTACTATGTTTTCTTTCCTTTACCTTTCTTATTTCTGCTGTAGAAAATCCAGATGTCTTGAGCTGCTCATATTCTTTATGCAAAGTTTTAAAGGTTTCCATTAACTCTTCATACTAAAAGAATATGTTTATAAATTATAAACTAGTAACTAGATCCAGTTGAGTTTTCTTAATCAGGTTATCTACTAACTCACAGTGATTACTCAAGTCATTGTAAGAACAGCATTAAAAATACAAAAACATATCCTTAAACATTTACATAGCATACAAAAAAGTATATCTCTACCATTACAACAGTAAATACTTCTATATCTCATTCTGGTTACTTTCCCACCTCACACTCTACACTCTAGCTATGTTGACGTCTGAGTCCCTGAACACTCCCTGTTCTCGCCTCAAGCTTATACATCTATGACTCCCTCACCTGTAACTGAAGCAACATCTATTCATCCTTCAGGTCTTAATGTACATTCCACTATTCTCAGAGAAGCCTTCTCTGGCCCTGTATCTATCCTATCAGAGTAGATATCATGGACAATTATAGCTATTATAATTTCCTGTCTGTCTCCCACCATTATATAGTGAGAGCCAAGAGGAAAAGAATCATATTCATCGTGTACAGCCCTGTATCCCTGGGGCCTAGCACAGTGCATAACCCATGTAGGTGTTTAATATAAGGTAGTTGAATGGGCCAGGCATGGTGGCTCACACCTGTAATCTTAGCACTTTGGGAAGCCAAGGCAGATGGATCACTTGAGGTCAGGAGTTCAAGACCAGCCTAGCCAACATGGTGAAATCCTGTCTCTACTAAAAATACAGAACATTAGCTGGGCACGGTGGCACACACCTGTAATCCTAGCTACTCAGGAGACTGAGGCAGGAGAATTGCTTGAACCTGGAAAGCAGAGGTTACAGTGAGCTGAAATCGTGTCACTGTACTCCAGCCTAAGGAACAGAGCAAAACTCTGTCTCAAAAAAAAAAAAAAAAAAGTTTTGTTGTTGTTTTTGAGACAGGGTCTCACTCTGTCACCCTGGCTGGAGGGCAGTGGTACCATCACAGCTCATTGAAGCCTCAGCCTCCCTGGGCTTGCTTAGGTGATCCTCCCACCTCAGCTTCCCAAGTAGTTGGGACTACAAGCTTATGCCATCATGTTGGGCTAATTTTTGTATTTTTTGTAGAGATGGGTTTCAACATGTTGCCCAGGCTGGTCTTGAACTCCTGAGCTCAAACAATCTGCCTGCCTTGACCTCCCAAAGTGCTAGGATTACAGGCATGAGACACTGTGCCTGGCCAAAAAGTTATCTTGATGAGGAATTACAAGAATAATATTTTTCTTGATCATATCTTATAAATCTACAAATTATTAATTCTACAATTCTTCCTTCGGAAAGATAATACACATTTTTATTAGGATCCCTGAAATGACTGGCTAAATGTATAAATCATTATATATTACAAATCACTGTGTGTGTATATCTCTTTCTCTCCATATATATATACATATATATATGGAGAGAGAGAGAGAGAGAGATGCCCACCAAATATGCTTCAAGATGTCTTTATTATCATTAATTCTTTCATTAATTAGCTGAGCATATTTAGCAAAAACTTAATCAGGCAGGGTACGGTGGTTCACGCCTATAATCCCAGCACTTTGGGAGACAGAAGTGGGCGGATCACAAGGTCAGGAGTTCAAGACCAGCCTGGCGAATATGGTGAAACCCCATCTCTACCAAAAATTAGCTGTGCATGGTGGCAAGCACCTGTAATCCCAGCTGCTTGGGAGACTGAGGCAGGAGAATTACTTGAACCCAGGTGGTGGAGGTTGCAGTGAGTCAAGATGGCACCCGTGCACTTCAAGTAGCCTGGGCAACAGAGCAAGACTCTGTCTCGGAAGAAAAAAAAAAAGACTTAACTTCCTCTAGATAAATTAGTTTTTATCAGATTTGTCAATGGTGGGAGCCTAGGAAGGAGAAAGTACACATTTACACTTTTCTATTTCCCACATTATGTAAAATATTCAAAGGTAAGGACAAGTAGACAGGTGGTCTCATTCTGCTGTGCTTCTCCCATGGCAACTACTGTGACATCTGACATAATTATTTGCAAATATACTGCCTTAAGAAATCAATATTGACCTATTCTGAGTTACTGCCACACCCAAAATTGCACAACATATGGATAAAAATAAAAATAATCGGCTATTGCGACTCAATCCAAATACTGAGTTCACATTAGAAGTGACTATACAAAATCTGGAAGAAAATAAAGATGGAGGCCGGGCGCGGTGGCTCACGCCTATAATCCCAGCACTTGGGGAGGCCGAGGCGGGTGGATCACGAGGTCAAGAGATCGAGGCCATCTTGGTCTACATGGTGAAACCCCGTCTCTACTGAAAATACAAAAAAATTAGCTGGGTGTGGTGGTGCATGCCTGTAGTCCCAGCTACTTGGGAGGCTGAGGCAGGAGAATTGCTTGAACCCAGGAGGCGGAGGTTGCAGAGAGCCGAGATCGCGCCATTGCAATCCAGCCTGGGTAACAAGAGCGAAACTCTGTCTCAGAAGAAAAGAAAGATCGATAAGACATGACACCTGTCTCCAAGGACCTCAGAATTTATTGGGGAAGACAGACTGACAAACTATTCACAACAATTTGGCAGAAATCAGTCTATGTAAGTGCTAAGGAATAAAAGTGTGAAACATTAAACAGAAGCACTTTTTTAAAAAAAATCAAAGTCCTTTTAAATCTAAGCCTAGTTTCTTTCTCCCTACAGTCTTTGGCCAAAAATGTGCTTAGGGATCTCAGGATCAGAAGCCAGACAGCTAGAATCCTCAGTACTCAAGAGCTTTAAGATCTTATGCCAGAGCAGAGTGATGTTCCAAAACTCTGGAGAGAAAGGTGCACTGAGATTTCAAACTCTGGAATCTATCTCTACCCTCTGTCTGATTGGGAAGTCCTTTGGGACTGCAAGCCTAGCTTCTTTGCCTGCTTCTTTCCAGGGGCTCAAATGTTCCAATTTGCCTGGGATAGTGTCAATTTAAACCATTTGTCTTGGTGTAATTGTTACGATAGTCTGTTTCTCTCTAATTTGGATAACAAACTATGTAGTCACTTTACTGATGAATAAAGTACTATGTAGACTTAACCCAGTATCATATCTACCCACCACTGCTAAATAATAAATTATTCTAAAACCTGATTATCAGGTTTTTTTTTCTATTCACATACTCCTATCAATGAAATGATATTTGTGTGCAAAAGCCATTATCTTGAGATGTGGCCACAGTTGAACATTGCAACTATTACAAGTTCTCAGTGATGTTCTGGCTGAGATTGACCCAAAGGTCAATCTTTTTATCTTCTTGTGCCACTTGGAACTACAAAGACAGCAAATAAGAAAGATTAACATGTATCTGAATAGCACACCTTGAAATCCATTACAGTTTCACTGCGCTCTTTATGCATTATTTACCTGTTTATTGGTGTCAGCCACGGTTTCATCCTGAAGAAACTCAGTTGGTACCTCAAGTTTTATTAAAAAACGAGCTAAATACGCTCTTTTCTTCAGTTCATTAGGCCTCTGAAGAAGCCAGTGGAGCACTGGGTAAATTACAGGTTTACTTCCAATCACCAAACCCTGACGAAAAGTACTCCTAAGACAGAGAAACACACACACACTTAACAGTAAACTTTGAAGAGAGATAGTATTTGTTCAAAATGCTATCTGATTCGCAATTCCAAACTGCTTTCTATAACATTCTTAAAAAGATAAATTCAAAGCTTTTTTTTTTTTGGAGACAGAGTCTCACCTCATTGCCCAGGCTGGGGTATGGGGTATAGCGGCACAATCACAGCTCACCACAGCCTTAACCTCCTGTCTCAGGTGATCCTCCCACTTAGCCTCCCAAGTAGCTGGGACTAGAGACACCAACTATCATGCCCAACTGATTTTTTTTTGTATGTTTTATAGAGACAGGGTTTTGCCATGTTGCCCAGGCTGGTCTCAAACCCCTGAGCTCAAGCAATCTACCTGTCCTGGTCTCTCAAAGTGCTGGGATTACAGGTGTGAGCCACCGCACCCAGCATTACATCACTTTTCAAAGTCTACTTTTCTTCTCTGACTTGTCTTCCCTTTCACCTCACTCTTCACCCTGAACCTCACTTTTAAAAGATTATATATATATATATATATAAATAAAATAAAAAAATTAAAAAAAAAAGATTATTTTGAAACTTGGTGATGTTCTCAGGCCATCAAATATCAAATTAAGGAAACCAGGTATTATCTAAAAAGATTGATTGCAGTATATGAAAGTTTGGATACCAAAGCATAATTTAAAAAACTCAATATACGATCAGATTCTTACATGTCTGTGGCATTTCCTGAAGGTTTGTATTTAAGAATACCAAGAAGGTTCAACATTCGTTTGGCTGTTTGCTCTGGCATCTCCTCTCTGATATCCACAAGTTGCTAACAAAGAAATTGAAAAAATATGTTATTGTTGTACATGTAACAAAGGACAATATTTAAACTCACTGACAAAATTGTTCTGCTAGAGCTTAACGGCACAATGGTCTCTTCATAAAACAGATTAAGGATAGAGGCCCCCAGATTCCAAGTGAGGGTGCACCCAAGTCAAATCAAGATTCATACTAAGAATGTTAAGTTTCAAAAAAAGTATCCAGTGGAATGGACCAGTGTATGAGAGACATGAGCTAACTTGCAACACAATAAAACCTTTTGTAAAAGCATTTTCATTCCCTAACCAAATCTATTTATGTCTGGAAGTAGAGAAGTAATTTCTAAATAAGGTACTAGTAGATAATTTAATTTTTGAGCTATCAGAGAAACATTATGGATCATTTACTATTACTTTACAGACATGGAAAATAAGGCCCAGAGAGGTTAAATAATTTGCCCAAGACACACAGCTATTTAGAGGCAGAAACTGGCTTTCTGCTACCCATTAAAAAGAAAGAGAAAACTCTTACCTTTGGGTCAATCTCAGCCAGAACATCACTGAGAACTTGTAATAGTTGCATTGGCTCCAAGGAATCAAACGTGATTAAATTATAGTTCTTCCTAAAAGGCTCCTTATTGAGACTGTCCACAATGAATTTAATTTGATCACTCATAATTAGGTCTTATAACTAAAGAGTAAAAATAGAAAAAAAATTCCTCAATACTGGTAACAAAAATTCCGGGAAAAAATCAGAATTAAGTTCGTAAAACCCAGGCATGAAAAGTATAATTCTACATGGCACATGAAAAAGGTTTTGTTGAAAGAATTCCAAGTATAACGGCTTTTTTATGAAAACTGCAGTATATACTGTTAATTTTAACATCAAATGTGTTGTATATGCATCTGGTGTAACAGTAATTATCTGAGTTCATGCGGACAGATGAATAACAAATCCTACCTACATTAATACCTCTCCCATGCAGTTGCATAATTTCTACCCAGGAATTAAACATCTGTTAGGCTGTAGACATGCATGTGAGATGTTTCCCCCAAATCTCCCAAAAAACACTGGGAGATTTTTACTTTAAAATTTAGATTTCCAGTTTCTCTTGAAAATCAGATCTGGCAACTGTGGGCTCACATTTGTGCGTGGCCACAAGCAACTGCAGCTGAGGAGAAGCTGCACACTTCAAGTGCTCTTCATCCATTTCTGTTATTGGTGTGGCCCATACAAACCCACTCTGCTGCCCTAGAGTCATTCAGGCTTTCATTTCCTTTGGCCTTCAATGAGGCAACAGCCTCCTGTTGTCTGATCTCCACCTCTCCCCATTCCAAATCATCTGTAGGCTCCTTATTGCATACAAAACACAGTTAAAACTTTTTGGATTTCGAGACTCTTTATGATCTGGCACAACTTATCCTTTTTCAACTTATTTCCAAATTGTCACCTTTCTATCCCTTCAAACTTCAGCGTGTAGAAACAGTCACTGCTCCTTAGTTTTTCCATCACTCTGCCTTGAATGTTGCTTTCTCTGTCTAAAATGATGGCTCATCCTTCCATCATCTTCAGAGGACCAAACCCCTCAACCATCTTTCAAGCCATGCCCACCAAATGCCAGTTCCCCCAGGAAATCTTTCTCAAGCTATCCCCCAGGTTCTGCAGCAGAGTGACAACACCTGTCCTCCATAGCTGACCACACTTTATCTGCACTTCTCTCCTAGTATTACTTTTGAAATTGTGCTATTCTTTAGGTACACAACTCCTCTTCCCTGCTAAACTGTAAATTCCGTATCTGTGTCCAATTCCATTTTGAACATCCACTATGTCTAAAACAGTGACTTCTTTCACTAGATTGAATGAATTTGTTCACAGGCCCAAGGCCAGAAACAACATAAGACTAAATCTAAAGGAAATCAGGCTGGCAGTGAGAGAGATCATAACTTTTTAAAAAATTGAGTATCTAATTTCTTAATTGCAGAAATAGCCTTACCTAGGTAAATGCTTTAAGGATTAAAAATTAATTAAAAGGCCAGGCTTGGTGGCTCACACCTGTAATCCCAGCACTTTGGGAGGCCGAAGCAGGTGGATCATTTGAGGTCAGAATTAAAAAATGGATTGCTGCCAGGCGCTGTCTCTCACCGCTGTAATCCCAGCACTTTGGGAGGCTGAGACGGGAGGATCACTTGAGGTCAGGTGTTCGAGATCAGCCTGGCCAACGTGGTGAAACCCCATCTCTACTAAAAATACAAAAATTAGCTGAGTGTGGTGGTGAATGCCTGTAATCCCAGCTACTCTGGAGGCTGAGGCAGGATAATCGCTTGAACCTGGGAGACAGAGATAGTGCCACTGCACTCCAACCTGAGCAAAAGAGCGAGACTCCATCTCAAAAAAAAAAAAAAAAAAAAAAAAAGATATGATTACTTATCCACAACGATGAAAAATTATGCACAAATATTATTTCTAAGAAATTATCAAAAGATGATAGAAAGGACAACCAACATGGCTTATAATAAATCTGAGGTTTCCTTTAAGCTATAAAAAGAAAATCTTTACATAAGTTTTTTTCAAAATCCACATTAGGAAGTGTTACTTTTCCACTGTTTAAAGTATTTTAAGTAAAAGTCCACGTCATAACCTTTGCCTGCAGAAATATGTATTTCATTTTAAATGATTTAGAAATTATCTAAGGGTCTATTCTCTTTTCCCTTAAAAAAAAAAAATCTGGATAAACCAGCAAAATGTTCCCAGGAAGGCAAAGAAACTTCTTGGGTTCCCCGCAAGTCGCCCGCCAGCCAGCAATGGTCACTCGATAAGGACAAGGATGTACCGAACAGGTAGGCTATCCGTGCCCAGCGGTCTCTACGCTCTAAAATTAGCAAAAGCAATTACTGTCCCTCTTCCAGCGCGAAGTTGCCGCGCTAATTTCGAAGCACTCACCCACAAACGAGCCGCAAGGGGCGGGGAGCAATGAAAACCAGGACGTGCGTGTTCTCTGGCACAATTTGGGACAGAAACCGTGCTGCCCGGGTCCCAGACTGGCACAAGCGTCGACCCGCAGCCTCCTGGGAGTCCCAGAAATAGTGTCCCCCACCCCAGGCTCGGGACAGAGGACAGGGGACCCCACACCTGACCAGGCCTCTCGCGGGGGCTGCCCTGGGCCCCTGGACTGTTCATCCAGCCAGGAAACTGCCTGGATCCGCACTAAGCCCAGCAAGGGCAGGATCCCCTAACTGGGGGCTTAACCGCGACGACTCCTTCCACCTGCGAGGTGCTGCACCAGAACCAAGAGGGGACAGGAGCTCTCTCCTATTTCGGGTTCAGGGGAATTTCCGACCGCGAATTGGCGAGGTTACCTCAAATTCTCCTCAGGAAACCGTTTCCCCACCCCCCCAGGAGGCACTCGGGCTTAGAGGGCTCCTAGAGACGAGCTCCTTGGCAACGGTTGCTAGGCCGTGGCGTTGCATCACTTCCGGGGGTGCGCGCGCGCTGGGGGCGTGGCTTCAGGCGGAGCTGGGCGGAGGGGCGCCGGGCTTACTTGCAAAGCGTGGCCGCAAGCTGAGCCACTGCGGAGAGCTGAGGGTGTTTGGGACTGTTACTCCGACCTATACGCGCTACAATAACCTTTCCGAAAGTCCTGCACTTTGCAGTTTACAAAATACTGTCCACATGATTAACTTATGTTGAATGCCTGTGCTGTTTCATTCATTCATGCGCCAAACGTGGGTGATGACTTTTTTTTTTGTTTTTGAGGCAGGGCTGGGTGGCAGGGGGGTTGAGATGAGCAAGCATTTGGCCTGAGTTTCAAATTTAGGTTTTTGACGTAAGTATCTCCAAATTAGGTTATGCATAGGAACAATTGTAGTGAGACTCTGGCAGGATTAAAAGGAGAGACATTCATCATAGAGATTTCAGCTTCTGTGTCACATTACTGGGCCACATTGCCTGTACTGGGAATTAATTTTTTTTAAACTCAGTAATTTTTTAATATGCTGAGAGCCTGAGAGGGGGTGCAGGAGAAGTAAGTGCCCTAAGGTTCTTTTGGCTTCTGAGTGGGCTTTCTTAAGCACCTGCAGAAATAAATTCTCCTTGTGGTCTTCATGGAGTTCACATCCCGTGCAGAAGTCAGGGAAATCTTTGTGCCCAGTCACTGATGAGGTTTAAAAGTCTACTGGAATTTGCTCTAGCTGGTTTGTGGGAGACCTTAGTTGGCAAATGGTATTTTAAACCAGCCCTTATTAGCCTAGAGACCTCAATACTTTGTGCTATCAGCTGGTAGTGAAAGAAAGAGAAGGGGGAAAAAAAGTCAAATTCTTGATATCTTGAAAACAGTTGCCTGCTCAAACAGCAAAGAAGAAAACAACTATAGCTTTAGCATCAGACTTACCACACACACAAGAATAGCAGGTTACATATTAGGCATTTCCTATATGCCCTGTACTATGCGGACTGCTGGGAATGCAGAAAAGCAGGACTTACCTGCCTCTGCCCTCATGGAGCTGACACTCTAGTGCTGGCAGAGATTATGAAAGGAGCAACACCAATGTAACTGAGATAAATGCTGTAACAAAAAGACCCAATGACTCGGAGCCCAGATTAAGGGCCTCAAGTTTATCTGGGGAGGGAGGTACCAAAGGGGCCATACCACCAGGAAAGTCTCTGTCAAATTGAGTGACGTTTAAGGATCAGTAAAAATTAGGTCTGACACAGTGGCTCACACCTGTAATCCCAGCACTTTGAGAAGCCAAGGCAACAAGATAACTTTGACCCCAGGAGTTCAAGACCAGCCTGGGCAACAGAGCAAGACACTTTTTCTACAAAAAGTTAAAAGTAAAAATTGGCCGGGGGTGGCACCACTGCACTCCAGGCTGGGCAACAGAGTGAGACCTCCCTTCTCTTAAAAAGGATCAGTAAAAATTAACCAAATAGGAAAAGGGAGAATGTTTTGGGCAGGGGCAAGACAACATTCTGAGACCAGGGTCCCATTGTTGGCTGCCCTCTGACTGTTGAAATATCAAGTGTAGGTCCCCTTCAGGGCTGTTGGAGAGAAACTAAAACTGGCCCCTGCCCACAGAATGTTCACAACCAGTTACAGCAGGCAACACTTAAAACCTCACAAAATTAAATAACTTATGTAATCCTGAGAGAAACAATACAAGATTTATAGAAGGGATTATATAATTCATTGATCCTGTTGGGTGTGTTAGGAGACACCCCTGGCTACCTGAGTTTGAATACTGTATCTTCCATTGTGTACCCTCTCTTCATCTTGCTGAAATTTCCTCATCTGTAAAATGTGGCTATAACAAAACCTTCCTCAGTGGAGTTGATGTGAGGATTAAGTGAGTTGATACGTGTAAAGTGATTAGAACAGTGCCCGATAACTGGGAAGCACTGAAGACATTTATGTTTCTTATTTTTTGAAAAATGAGGCTGGACATGGTGGCTCATGCCTATAATCTCGGCACTTTGGGAGGCTGAGGTGGGAGGATAGCCTGAGCCCAGGAGTTCAAGTTCAGCCTGAGCAACATAATGAGACCCCACCTTAAAAAAAAAAAAAAAAAGAAAGAAAGAAAGAAAAAGTAAACATTTTTTAAAAATAAAACTTTAAAAGTAAGATGGTTTACCAGGCACCGTGGCTCACGCCTATAATCCCGCCATTTTGGGAGCTGAGGTGGGCGGATCTCTTGAGGTCAGGAGTTGGAGACCAGCCTGGCCAACATGGTGAAAACTCATCTGTATTAAAAATACAAAAATTAGCTGGACGAAGTGGCGCACGCCTGTAATCCCAGCTACTTGGGAGGCTGAAGCAGGAGAATCACTTGAACTTGGGAGGCGGAGGTTGCAGTGAACTGAGATCACACCATTGCACTCCAGCCTGGGCAACAGAGTAAGACTCCATCTAGGAAAAAAAAAAAAAAAAAGATGGTTAGTTTTGCACCTTCTATAGGGTTTATGGGTATAGGCTATAGAAGTCCCAGATAGGAGTGGTTTCTCTAACAGCTTTTAGTTCCTACTCTCTCTGTTGCCATTGGTCTATAAACACTGTGCCTTTCAGTTACGAGACTGCAATCCTGCGTACATTCAAGTAAGCAAGAGGACCCACTCTGCACTCAAACTTGAATAGATTTTATGCTTAATATGGTTGCTTTGGAACACAGGGAAAAATTTGAAGCCAGTCAGCATGCTTCCTGTAATCTGTATATTGAAAAATGTACATTCTGACTCATAGCAAAAAATACAGCCGCATATATTGGGTCGCCTAGGCCAAAGGAAGATTAGCTACCACCCCTGATTCTGTGTGTGTGTGTGTGTGTGTGTGTGTGTGTGTGTGTGTGTGTTTGGAGACAGAGTCTCACTCTGTCACCCAGGCTGGAGTGCAGTAGCACCATCTCAGCTCACTTCAGCTACCACGTCCTGGGCTCAAGCAATTCTGCTGTCTCAGCCTCCCAAAGTGCTGGGATTACAGGTGTGAGCCACCATGCCCAGCCAGTCCCCTGATACATTTAAGATAAAACTTTGGGTGGATTCATTGAAGGGTCTAAGAGGAAATTCTCAGCAGCAATTTCACAGCAACAGAGGCATTGCTGATCTCATCCCAACTGAGCCACCCATGAAGATTTTTTTCTCCTCAAATGCTATGTTGAGTCTTCTCTGTAAGCTCCCAACAATGCCTTTTGGCTGAACTATATTTGACATTTTTAATAGAGGGAGGGAATTTCCAACCATATGTGACAGCCTTTCTGAAAGCTTCCCACTCCTTCCTCACTCTCTTTTTGAAACAGCTTTATTAAGATATAATTCACATACATACAGTTCACTCATTTAAAGTGTACAATTCAGGCTGGGCACAGTGGCTCACACTTGTAATGCCAGCACTTTGGGAGGATGAGGTGGGAGGATCACCTGAGGCCAGGAGTTCAAGACCAGTGTGGCCAACATGGTGAAACCCCGTCTCTACTAAAAATACACACACACATACACACACACACAAATTAACTGGGCATGGTGGTGGCACCTGTAATCCCAGCTACTCAGTAAGCTGAGGCAAGAGAAACACTTGAGCCCAGGAGGCAGAGGCTGCAGTCAGCCAAGATCGTGCCACTGCACTCAAGCCTGGAAGACAGAGCAAGACTCCATCTCAGGGGGGAAAAAAAGTGTACAATTTAATGGCTTTTAGCATATTCACAAAGTTATGTAATCATCACCACTATCTAGTCCCAGTACGTGTTTATTAAACCAAAAAGAAACCCTGTACCCTTCAGCCATCACCCTCACAGTGAAAAGCTCCCCACTTCACAGCCCTGGGTAACCACTAATTTACTTTTCATCTCTATGGATTGGCCTTTTCTGGACATTTCATATAAATGAAATAATACAAAACGTGGTCTTTTTTATCTGGCTTCTTTTGCTTAGTATAATGTTTTTAAGGTTCATTCATATTGTAGCATGGATCAATACATCATTGCCTTTTTTTTTTTTTTTTTTAAGATGGAGTCTCCCTCTGTTGCCCAGGCTGGAGTATAGTGGCATGATCTTGGCTCACTGCAATCACTGCCTCCTGGGTTCAAGCGATTCTTCTGGCTCAGCCTCCTGAGTAGCTGGGACTACAGGTATGTGCCACCACGCCTGGCTAATTTTTTGTATTTTTAGCAGATATGGGGTTTTGCCATGTTGACCAGGCTGATCTTGAACTCCTGGACTCAAGTGATCCACCCACCTCAGCCTCCCAAAGTGCTGGGATTGCAGGTGTTAGCCACCATTCCTGGCCCATCATTCCCTTTTATGGCCAAATAATTCCATTGTATGGATAGAACACATTTTGTTTATGCATTTTCTATTCCTGGACATTTGAGTTGTTTCCACTTTTTTGCTATTATAAATACTCTTGCTATGAACATTAGTATTCATACTTTCGCCCCCTTATGAAGAAGGATTCTATTGCCTAATTCATGTGAGCAGGGTATATATATCACGGGGATAGAAGAGAGGATTCATTCTTACAGTGTCTCTTCCTTTCAATTTTTTTTAATTTTTAGCCTATTGGGTACACATGGTTGTAGATTACAGGACCCAAGATGTGGAGCCTTTAGTAGTTTTTGGATATAACATAACGGACCTGTTACGGAAACCTACTCATCCCTTGCTACCAAAGCACTAGAATTCCCGATCTGTTTCTTACCAGAAGCCCTCTGATAAGAAGATGTGCTTACATGGATGGGCCTCAAATGTTCACTATCTTCCAGCGGAGAAGAGGGTGAGGCGAGGTGAGGAGGAGTTGAGAAATACTTGAAGCTGCCCCTTCTTATCTCCTTATTTAACCGTGTAGATAATAAGGGATATCTGCAGTTTCAAAGCTTTGGTCTGATTATTCAGAGGGGGAAAATTACTCCTGATAAAGTATATTTTTTAAAGCCTCAGTTTAGTTACAAGATAAAAAATAA